AGCTGAGAGTAACGAAAAAAAAACGGTAGACTCTATTTCGGTGCAAAATAAAAATACTAAAAAAACAACAAAGAATGAAAGTGAGGATGTAAGAGTGTTGGTAGAAAAGATTTCTTCTTTCGTAAACTATCATTATCAACAATTCTATCATTTTTGTTTTCGATATTTTTACTGACGACAAAAATAAACGAAACTGTCACAAGGTCCTCCAATAACTTACACTTTCGTCCTAAGTTTCAACTGTGATCTCTTTCATAGTCACATCGAAAAATGAAGTTAAGCAACGTATCAGCTTGATTCTGAAAAGTTACTTCTAAGTTTTGAAAATTCTAAGAAATTCTGAAATAACAGATGAATAAATAATGAAAACGATGTTTTGACTGACTTGAAATTTTTACCAGACCATGAGGCGTATCACTGCTGACACTTTAGACGAAAGTAGAAGTTTTCGGAGGAGTTTGTTACATATATAATTAGATCGACTCATGTAGTCACCATTGAATTTTATTTAATGAAATAGTACCATTTAAATCTTTAAAAAAATGCTATCAATCCATCACCATTTCAATATTGAATTTTAACGATTTTTTCACGTTTTTTTTTCTCGTTCAGCTGTTCTGTTTTCCTATCTACATAAAACAATATCAAAGATAAGTAAAAAAAAAAAATAAAAAAACAAATGTTTTTTGCCATAGCTATTTCCAACTGTTTTTGCATACTATTTACATTGTAGTATTATTTCAAAGATGTGCTGTTGACTTGAAGAAAAGACATTATAAGAGTATTTTTAGACGCAAAATCAGAAATTTCTTCCAAGATGAATACTTAAGAAATAGTTTTAATGTGTTCGCACTTTATTTTAGCAAACACAAAAAAAAAATAAGGTTCTTGTTAAAGAAAATATCGCATCGATCGTTGTTTAATTATGTTGACAAAGAAGAAAAAATATATAAAAAGAATATATGAAGACTTGAAGCGGAAATGTGATGACAAAGTTGTGAAAATGAATAGTTATGACGTTGACGACTGGACTAGTAATAGCAGCAGTGCTGCTAATGACGAAATTGATTCCATTAGTATTGTTTAAGCTCTGCTTGTATTGGACTTGATAAATGCAGTTATTGCCATCTTCGGAAAATAATAGACTTCCATCTTTCATAATAAGTATTCCGACTGGTCTTCCAAATGTATCAGGTCCAGGTGGATTGATTAGAAATCCATCAACAAAATTTTCATAGTGGCCCATCGGTCGATTCGTATTATTGTTAAATGGAATAAAGATAATTTTATAACCAGTTCCATTATTTCTATTCCATGAACCGTGAAATGCTGCAAAAACACCATTTCGATATCGACTAGGAAATTGATTGCCTGTATAAAATCGCATATCAAGTACAGCTGAATGAGCTTGAAAAAGAACATCAGGTGTTCGTGTAAGTGATACTAAATCAGGTCGTTCACTTGTTCCGTTATTTAGACGCCGTCTCGGATCAGTCAAGTTTGCACTCATATAAGCAAAAGGCCATCCATAAAAATCATTTTGTTGAATACGTGTAAAATAATCAGGTACGAGATCATCACCAAGTCCATCTCGTTCTTGACAGGTTGTATAGAGATCATTGGTAATTGGATGAAACGCTAAACCGACAGCATTTCGAAGGCCATAAGCAAATGTTGTTTGATTACTACCATCGAGATTTGCTTGTTGAACAGACGCTCGTGGTAATGAATCCACATCGACATTGGATGCTGAACCAATACTAATAAATATTCGATCACCATTAGGTGATATAACAATAGTTCGTGTCGAATGACCATTTGAAGCATAATTCATTATTATTTCACCCGTACCTGTAATTTGTCGACTTCCAGAAGTCCAAGCATAGCGTCGAATAACATCTCGATTACCCACATAAAAATATCCATTAGCGAAAGCCATACCAAATGGATAATTAAGTCCATTAGATGCATCAGCAAATGTTAAACGTTGATCTGGATAACCATCTTGATCATTATCTACGAGACATGAAATTCTATTAGTATTTGATTCACTAACGAGGATATCATTTGTAGGTGTATAGATAAGATAACGTGGTGATACAAGTCCACTCATATATAGCTTCACCGTAAATCCATCAGGAACGTAGAGGAGAGGATCTGTTGGCACAGGAATGATTCGAGGTCCTTTAGAAGCAGACGATGTAGCGAAGGGTTGTGGAAGATCAGCGATTCTTATGTAAATTGGTTGTGGAACAAAACTAACATTTGTACAATGCATTCGATGAATTACAAGTAAGATGAGTAGTGAAAAGAAACATGATACCAGTGGAAAAGACATTTGTCTTGACTGCAGTTTGATTTTCGTTCTTGTTGATTTGATATGTCAATAATTACATGCAGTATTACTCATATATTGACAAGCAAGTAACAGAACGAATGTTAATATAGAATGCAAACATTTAGAAGACCACTCATGGCAATGATGCGTATATTTCTTCTTTTTTCTTCATCATTGAAAAAAATACTTGTTTTTTTTCCGCTATAAACTAAACGCCCTTGAAAAGTTATATAGCATGTATTTTACATTGTTTATATAAGTGCATATATTAATATGGATCACTAGTTTATCATGCATATAAGTTACTAACCTTGACCTATATATTAATATGATTACAGAAAAATATAAATCTTTCTTGCTCACGACTAGATTTATTTTGTTTTGAGTACCGATAATAGTGATATGGTTATATTATTGAGATGAGACATAGATGAGTAACAAACGAATAGTTTCAACAAAGCAACTTTAAAAACATTCTATTATTTGAACAAATAAAATATGTTGTTGATGATATATGTTTGCGATTTGAGAAACAATGTAGAAAGAAATAGCGTCGCTAGATAAGACCGAAAATTTACCCACTAATTCAAATGTTTTCTGACATAGCTAGTGCGAAAGAGGACAGTGTTCTGCAGATGTCTTTGTAATTGGTTAGGCATATCATGATTTCCTAGTAAAGCTGGAAGAATTTTGAAGGGACTGATGCTAGTCTCTAGCAAGGAAGGTTGCCGCAGCACGTTTTTGAAATGTATCATGTGCTCTAAGGATGGATGTGCGTAAATCTGGATGAACAGAAGCCTGTTCTCACACCAGATACTCTAAGTAGCGTTAGAACAATTTAAGATTTTTTCGATCGCAACTTTTGTAAACTGAAATGAGTGGAAAAAATTTAATTTCAAGAAAATTCAATTTTGTGAAGCATATACTTGCTACAGATAGTGGTAGCAGATGTGAACTGCCTTAGAGGAACTTAGGTGTGGATATAGGTGAATGTGGGTGTGATTGTGGATCTGTATGTAGAAACAAGCTTCTACACATTCAAACCCACGCACACACACAAGCATATTTTATATTTCTTGAAGAATTTAAAAGAGCTATACAAGTTCGAGATCTTTCTATTTACACATAAGCAAAGTACCAAACAATGAAAAGAAAAGTTGACATATTCATTGCATAACTTATATTGTAATTGTCACAGAAACAAGCGAAAAGTCAGACAATTAAACTCGTTGAAATCATCGATTTGATATTATCGAGCAGTTGCATATCATAACATAACACTAACACAACATGTAAACAAGCAATAAGTATAATGATTCTAAGTTTAACTATATTAGTGTCCATCAAAACATAGTCGTATATTTTAAAAACCTAAACAAATAACTTCATCATAAAATAATATATGTATTTTAAATTATTACTATGACGTCTATCAAATTAACACCGTAGTATCTGATTATAATCAACAAGCATATCAATAATAACTTGGTGAAAGAAGAAATGATACGTCCTAGTTTATACTGAATCGCAGTAAAATACAAACGTTAGAAATATCCTGACAGTAGTAACAATCAATAAGTGAATGTCGGCGTTTATCATTCAACAATTCTAATTGGAAGCAATTGACTGGAAAACGTCTTATACCTATGGTAGATATAAGCCAGCTGAAGAAAAAGAAAAAACAACGGATTTGATGTCACAGATAGCCATATATTCATCTACATGATATGTGTGTTATCTTCAGGAAACGATGAGAAAAACACAAACAAAAAATTTCTATTGAGCGTCACATTGAAATAAAAATGATCACTGAAAGCGATCAAAATCTTTCTCTAGCATGTCACTTTTTGGCTGCACAGGAATAGGCAAAATTCAACACAAACTTCGTTATGATTTACAAAATCGTCTTATAAAAATATTAGCTTGCAAATGAGTGTAACAATGTAGGACACGGAGGGAGATAGATGAAAGTGAAAAGAATACTCTGGCCCTTACCTCTCGAGATTTTGTGTAATCATTAGTGTTTTCAATACCAGGGATATAAAGACCATGTACTGCTTCGGCGTATGTACCTACTGCTTTACATGTTACTGAGAAAAAATAGAGAGTACATAAAATATTTCAGTGAAAACATTTTTTTTTCAAAGATAGTCTAGAGCGTTTTCAAATGAAAAAAAGGAAGATAATAACTCTTTCTGATTTTATAGAATATTTCACTACCTATATTTACTTGTTCAACAGTTTTTGATTGTTTCATTCAAAATAAGAATACAAGTATGTTTCTTAATTATTGTCATTCATTATTATTAATATATATATGTTTAATATTAAATAATAAAACGAACTACTAGTATTTAAAGTACATTTTTGCATATTTCGACATACTTTTCTTATGAAAAGAGAGTATATAATACAATTAAATAATATGAACTAAGTGTAAAAGAATATTTCTTTTCAAATTTTCGTTCAAAATCCTGACAGTCATTCTGCTTACAAAACCCATTATATTTTATAGAATGTATATGTCACAAATCTTTCTTTTTCGCATAAGTCTATTGTACTATATGCACCATCTGAAGTAAAATATACAGTCTACCCATCGAATTTATTTTTCTCAATTAAATTCATATAGAAAAGAAAATGAATGAAAAAGAATAATATATTATAATCGAGGTGTCATGATTGCTTGATATAATGTTTGTTCAGAGTGATCAATAAAGGATAAAGTTAAATGTGTATTATTATGTTCCATCAAAGCAAATCCACCATAAACTGGTGAATCTGCCCAAAAAAATTTGAGTGAACCAGCCGGTACATCTTTAGCATGTTCTTGACTTGGATCTATGAAATTAGCTGCTCCAACAACAAAATAATTCATATGTACTCCATCCATATCATTCGTCAAATGCTAAGATAGAAAAATGTTTAAAATAATATTAATTTATATGAATAAAAGTGATAGTGCTTCTTTTTTACTTGCAGATTGTGATCATGTCCACATATGTATGCCGTTGCATGATATTGATGAAGTAGTGGACGAAGTCGATCAATCAAGCATCCAGTTGGACCATGTTCAGCTATTGAATATACTGGATAATGACCATTGACAAGTAAATATGGAGCTCTAAAGTCCAGCAAAGAAAAAATAATGACAATGTAACTCGTATTGATATACAACAAAATACAGACGTCGATTGACGAAGTTGTTCTTCAATCCATTGCCAATAGGCTTCGGCAACATGTTGATTTTTTGGACCTTCTAATGGAGTGTGATCCCAATCTGATAAAGAATCTCCACCACAAAGTATCACAGTATCAATCATCACGAAATCAATTAATTTCTTTTGTTTATCACTTTGCCATAAAGAGAATGAATAGAAATAATCAGGAAATACCCTATTAATATCAAAATTTAATTTTTCTAGCATGAAAAAGTCAACTTGTCTACTAACCATCGTTTTGATATTTTTCCATACTCAATTTCTGCTGAAACATTTCCTCTATGATCATGATTACCAGCTAAAACATACCAAGGAGTTTGTAATGACGTCGCCGAAAAAACATGTTCAAAAGTATTCTAAAACAACGATTAAAAAGAATAATTTTAGTTCTTCGTAAGAAGAAAAAGTTGCACTTGAAATCTTGAGTCATTGACTGTCTGAACACCATCATTATAAAAATTGTCACCTAATGCCAATTGAAATGTTGTATTTAATCTTACACCTAATATACCCATTGCATTAGCTACGGCAACTTCAGATGGTGTATCGAATGGTGATACTGGTAAACCACCCCAGTCACCAACAATAAAAAATCGTGTTGTTCCATCATCATTTTCTTTCGCCATCAAATCATATTGACCTAGAATAAAGATAATAAAAATGTAATGCATGATTTTATTTGGACGAAAAAAAACCCATACCAAAATTGGTTGGGAATGCTGTTGAAAGCTGATAGAAGATGACGAGATGTACTAAAATGGTGTGAAGCATTCTTTTTTTGACAAAAACTCGAATACAAAAAAAGATAATGTGAGACAAAAATATAAGTATGTAATAAAAGTAAATATACAAACAAAGATAACAGTTGAGGATCGAACTTTAATGACAAAGTATTCATGTATATTGAAAAAACGAGAAAAAGCAGGTCACGTGAAGTGAGCTTAAGGGGGAGCCCCCTCAGAAATGAAGTCCCACTTGGGACCCTCCGTTCGGGCTGAAATTTTCAGGGATGATTGGTCTTAGTGAGAAACTCTTGTGATAAAAATTTCAGCTTGACATGTTCGACTAAAACGCAATTTCGGCTGAGTTTCCTACCTTTCGGGAGAATCGAAATAACTCGGTCCAGAGAAGGGATAAAGAGCTCGAGCTGGTTTCAAATTGTAGCTAGCCTCTGTACGCAACTTTTTATCGAACGGAATTTTGAAACTTCCTTCCATTCATTTTGTATGAGCAATTTTGTGAGCATGCTTGCAAAATAAGCATAAAAAAGTGTGATTCTATGACAGTAAATCCCACTTTTCTTAGTCCTGGGATTCAATATCAAAAATCCGTCCGATGAAAAGTTAGCTCTAATCAAGACTTTTAAAACAAAAAAAAAACATCGGTGGTCTGCCGAGCCAAGCGAGAGTTATTTCAATTTTTCGGTCTAGAAACCATGTTTTGAGAAAAACGAACAATAAGTTTTTAAAAACCTTATTTTTTTCAATATGGGGGTTCGGAAAAACCTACGTAATATCCTTAAATCTCATGATAAAATCAATCAACTATAGTACATTCGAGAGTAGACACTTAGCTGTATCTAATGAGTTATAAATCACAAAATTCGATAAATTTGACCAAAATTGACTTTTCTGAGGGGGGAGGGGCCCTTAAGTTGTAGTTAGCATAAGTCGAGTCCATTAGTCCATAGTACACCCATTTTCTATACATGATACCAAAATTTATCAGTAGCTGTCCTTAGTTGTCGATGAAAAATTTCGAAAATTTGAGATGATTTCTTCATCATCTAATGGTTCATTATAAATCAAGAGGACTATTGTTTGGAGCTACTTTGTGAAAACAGAGTTGTATGGTACTTGTTTCAGCAGGTCATTTTTTTATTAAGAATAATACATTTAATCCTGTGTCTTTATAATGGCATTTTTATCTTGATTCCTTTTCAATTTGACGTTCATTCAATTTCTTGAAACTTTTCTAAGAGAAAACCGAAATCTTATCTAATAAGATGTACTTTTTCTTTTTTTTACTACAGAAAGGGGATATTCTTTAAAAGAAGAGATGAAAAATTAAATCTTTTAAAAATAACGTAAAACATTTCTGTGTAGATTGTATATTGTAGAAGTATCATTTCTTTAAAGCAACTAAAAAAATATTTTGTTGGGCTTTTCTGCATATGACAATTTGTGATTTGTGTGAGACTTTTTCCACTTGATTAGAAAAAGAATGGGTTTTTAGAGAATATATATACTCTTGGTTTCATCGAGAGTTAGATTTTGCTAGTGTTATTTTAACTTTCTTTCGTTATTCGTTATGTCTAGAATCAGCGTAAGCTTTTTTATTTTTTTTTCGAACTTTGATCACATTTTATCCACATTGAACTCTTCATATTTCTATATTGAATATGACATACTCTACTATTTTTACTTTCCATTTATAAAATAGATGAATAGCTACTTATTTATTTGTGCTTTTTTCATAAAAATAAGATAATAAAATAAGACTAAGAAAAGAAGAAGATGCAGAACCGTGATCGATTCTCAATAAAAGAAGGCCGATATGTTCTATACGTTCATAGATGTGATCATTCTATCAAGAAGCAGAGAAGAAAAAATGCACGCACGTGTATCTTAAAAAAAATGAAGGGGAAAAGAGATGAAATGATCAAGAATATAAATCAAAAAGTACATGTTTGGAAATAAAAGACTTTGCAGAACTGAGTCAGTTGATCTGTTTTTTTTGAATAGAATTGAGTTCAAGTTATTTCATAGTGATATAGAGTTAAATCAAGCTATTTTTGCGACGTTTTCGTTTTCTATTTATCTTTATAAAAAGTATCAAGAACAATTTTTCATGGCACGATATCTGGTTCCTAGTTTTTATACATAGAAAAAAAAGAGAAGCCAGGCTTAAAATAGGGTGTGGGTGGGTGGGTGTGGGTGTGTGGGTGTGGCTGTGGCTGTGGCTGTGGCGTGTGGGTGTGGGTGGGTGTGGGTGTGGGGTCTGGGTGTAGGCAATGAGAAGAATCACATCCCGCACCCACACCCACACCCGCAGCCACACCCACACCCATACCCACACCCATACCCACACCCACACCCATACCCACACCCACACCCACACCCACACCCACCACACCCACACACCGACATCCACCCACACCCACACACCCACACCCACACCCACACTCACACCCACACCCACCCATACCC